CTAAATTCTTGACTTCTGTCCTTCCCTTTATTCTCAGCATAGGCTGTCAATAGGTAAAGTCATTATACCTATTGATAACTAGCCAGTACAAAAGCATTTTTCTGTCCAACTCTCCAATTCCCCTGGCCAAAAGTGATCTTTTATTCCTTCTGAATTCCCACAAGAATTTAAGTGCCTCACAATACCACACAGCTGACCTGCTGTGGTTAAGTATACATCTTAACTCCCCTAGTAGATAGATTACCAGCTTCCTAAACTTTTTTAGTAAACTCCCTGAAATCTGGACTATTTTTTTTTGTTCTTTTTTATTATTTTTTTTAATCTCCACAGAGCCACACACATCCATGTGTTCAGCAAACATTTGTAAATGTATAAACAAGCTGATTATTTTCAAAGTTCGGTGTTGCCATAATTCTAGGACTAGAATGTTATTATGCTACAGTAGAATAAAAATATATCTAAATGCCAAAAAAAGGTCATATATGACATATATAACATGTAACATAACATTATCTTCTAACTTTTAAATAAATGTTTTTTCATTCATTTCATTCACTACTAGAAAAAACAAAAACAAAAGTCAAGAATGTCAGAATACAAATATATTTTCCTAAAAAGCTAAGGGTAATGTTTGCAAATCGTATTTTTCAAAATTCTAACAGTATTCGCTACTTAATAAAGAAGCCCTGTGGGGTGTTTTTAAAGTCCTGTGTTTTGTTTTGTTTTTTTAATCACTTTTGTGAAGGAACAGTCACCCAATAATGTATCCTTTATATCACACCACTCCTTGGCTTTTGTTGTTCTTACCATCTAGAAATGCCTAATACTACTCTGTCTTTCCAAGTGTCAATCTTTCATGAAATCTTTTATCTTCCCAACTACATGTGATCTCTTTCACCTGACTTACATTGTAATTATGTACATCATTTTTTATCTCTGCCAGTATATTATAAGCCCCCTGAAAGTGGAAATGACTTACTAATTTTTGTAAACTTTTTTCATCAATGTATTGAATTCATATCAGAATGCAGTAACATCAACTGCCCCTATATGTCTGAAAATATAGTCTGTACCCCTTAGGTGAACAAAATATTTTAATTATATTAATAATCATCATGTACCATCACTATTTTAATTAATATTCTAATGCTTACAGAAAAGTAAAGTAAAAAAAAACTAAGGACTATTTTCAGAAAGTAATAAACAACATAAATAAGGAGAAATTTAAACTATCTGTTGCATTAAGCCTTAAAACAGCCACTTACCTGTTAGAAGGTAGTTGGAAATGTATCGATGGCAAAATAAACTACAACAAAGCTCATACATCAACCTGTGGACTACCTGGGACCTGACTTATTACAGGATAACAATATTTCCCAGGACTTAGATCTTATATTGAAAAGAACAGAATGATCAAAAGGTGATATTTATACAAGTGTATTTATAAAATTACAATTGAGTGTTTTAAAAAACTCCTAACTGCCAAAACACAAGTAAAAACCATCACAGCCCACATGCTAGCACTAAAAGTACTCATCACTGGGTTTGTCCACTACCAACTGCATCACCATGTCAACACAGTAGAGATCGTGCCCTGACAACATAACCAAGCAGACATTCACTGCCCAGCCGATCACACCACCACCACCCACCACCTCCCATGCACAGTGCAATATATATATAACAGATTGTTTTTCAATTACAATGTCATGAACACTTCAAAATTCTTTTAGAACAATTCCTTTTCAAAAACTTTGCTTATATTGGGGCTTCCCTGGTGGCGCAGTGGTTGAGAGTCCGCCTGCCGATGCAGGGGACACGGGTTCGTGCCCCGGTCCGGGAAGATCCCACATGCCGCGGAGCGGCTGGGCCCGTGAGCCATGGCCGCTGAGCCTGCGCGTCCGGAGCCTGTGCCCCACAACGGGAGAGGCCACAGCAGTGAGAGGCCCACGTACCGAAAAATTTAAAAAAAAAAAAACTTTGCTTATAGACTCTGAAATAAATGATCTGCCCTATTTTGAAAAGGTCCTCAGGTTACCACTGGCTAGCTCCAAGACAGTCTTACCTTCTACACTGGCCATGTCTAGACCCTCCCCACATATACACACCCTTCAGAGCAAGAACTCTGACAGGAAAGAAACATGCTACAGAGAAAAGCCCACCAGATGAGAAGTCACAAGACCTCCATTCCAGTGCGGGCTGGTCCCCTTGTTAGTCATCTGACCCAGAACTAAAGTTTTTTCATCTGATTGCTATACAAATCAAATGGCATGCTCTACATAAAGGAGTTTTACCTTTTCTTTTAATTTCATTTTTACTATACTAACACAGGCATTGAAATAATTGTTAGCTGATTCCTGAGTACTTGAAAACAGCTTGTTCTCATTTTTTCAAGCAACTCTGTTCTTCATAGAGTCCAAAAGGTCATTTCTAGTTCAAGGCAAAATTATAACTGGATCAGTGTATTCAAAACTAAGATATTGGGACTTCCCTGGTGGTCCAGTGGGTAACACTCCATGCTCCCAATGCAGGGGGCCAGGGTTTGATCCCCGGTCGGGGAACTAGATCCCACATGCATGCCACAACTAAGAGTTCACATGCCGCAACTAAGAAGCCTACATGCCGCATCTAAAGATCCCACATGCCGCAACTAAGACCAGGCACAACCAAAATAAATAAATAAATATATTTTTAAAAACTAAGATATTAAAATGAGATGGTGTGCAACATGGGTGTGTAAATGCCAAAGGGCCAAAATAATCAGTGTCACAGGCAGGCATCCTAAACCAGGTAAATTTTGAGTCATTATTTGGGAAAACAAAACGCAAGAATTCTCTTGTTGCAACATAAAAATGTAGGCTAGAGTGAGAAGATTGGTATGTCTAGAGCAGAGAGGCCAAGGTGAGGAGTATATATAATCAAATGTAAAGTCAAAGATGGCAGAAGAATATCTGACAAATTTAAATTTCACACCACAGCTCTTAGAAACAACTACATACTCTTGAGCCAAGAATGATATGGTGAAATGCTCTTTGAAGATTATTATACCAGCAGCTGTGTGGAGGATGAATTGAAGTGATCAGAGATGTCAGGAAACCAGTTTGGAAGTTTTTAATATTAAGTAATACAAATAAGGTTCTACAATAATCTGGTAACTAAGGACATGAAAAGGGGTAAATCTGGTAGTCACTGCAGAGAGTCAGCTAGATTTGGTGACAGGTTGAAAGAGGGAGGTGGAAAAAGATTTGAAAATGATTCCAAGGACCTGGTCATGAGCAGCCTACAGCATAACCACACCTGTGCAGCACTAATGGTTCTGGCATTGGCTTTTCCAGACTGCACCTGAACCTGTTTAGCCCTATATACCAGCCTCACAATGAGACACCACTCTACCTTAGATGGAAACAGAAAACTACCACGACCATAATAGTGTGGAGATACCCCATAAGCCAAGAGTTCAGATTCATTTCTTGATGGAGAAAGCCTGGGGAACTTCCTCCCCACATACACAACTAGAGGAGAGGGAAATTTCTTCTCTCTATGCCCCCCAAATTGTCTACACACTTGAAGCCCAAGCTCAACACTATATGGATCTTTCAGGTCACAAGTACACAAAACACAGATGACACCATTGATAGGGATAGGTGTAACAATATAAGTCAGGCAAATTATATTTTTTAAGGGTTCATTCTAAACTGGTACAAAGCCAAGTTGATTACATTTAAAATTAAAATGGCCAGAAAACAATCTTATGGGGTTATTTCTAATGTATCACAATGTTAGATAAACTCTGCTCCTGAATGCACTGTGCTACATAATGATTCTGCAGTTTTGCAGAAGCTTTTCTTATTTCTGCAGCTTTAAAAACATGCTACTGGAAAGCAGACATCAGATCAGAGTGTTTTTCTTGTCTAAAAACATACCGTTATGCTATTTCCAATTTCATCAAAGAGAATGATTATTAACAACAATGTGTATTTAATCGAGGTCTAACTGTCTACAGTTCCTTCCAAGGAGGACCATGTCTAAATTTAACACAAAAAAGAAACTCATGTTAATCCATGGGAGTCTCTCTGTGGGTAAATGAAGCTCTAGAGCTTGGTTTGAATTGGCTATACTAACAACATTCCATTCTCAAAAGGATTAATCCATCCAAGCTCCTTGAGAAACATGTCTATTTCATCCAGATTTTTAAGAGGTTCTAACACATTATCGTTTACATACACTTTAATCTCACAAACAGGAAAAACACTGTCATAAAATTTTCACATTGCCCTATCTTTAAAACAAACCAACCAGCCTACCTTGCAAACGGATTAAAATATTATCTAGGGAGGTTACCAAACCGTGATCTCGTCATAAATAAGAGCTCTCCAGACCGCTGTCACTCTAATTATTCTATTCTAAATTTCTCGGAAGCAGAGAATGAATTTTTCCATTTTCTTGTTGGAATTAAGGTTCTGCACATCAGGAGGTACGGAGGGTTGGGCTTAAAGCCACCGGCTCCAGCGGCTCCTCAATGTCCTAACACAACGGGCAGGGGGAGCCAGACGCAGCATCGCCTCCACGCTCCGCGAGGAGACAAGACCGAGTCTCTGCGCCTCCAAACCCAGAGCAGGTGCGAAACGGACGCAGGTGCGAAACGGACGCAGGTGCGAAACGGACGCTCTGGGCTTTCAGCGGTTTCACCTTCCTCCACCACAGACCCGGGGCCATCCTAGGAGACGAACCGTCTGGTGCAGTCACCCCCGGGGCCCGTTTGCTGAGGGCGGACAGGGCGGTGGATTCCTCAACCTTTCCCCTGACTGGCAATTTCCTACAGCAGCCGCAGGAATCACAGTCCCACGGCCCGCCCCGCTAAATTGGGGTGCAAAGGGGACTCGGGTGGGGCCTACCAACACCTCGCAGCCTCCCGGGGAGGCGTGGGCCGGGGACAGGGGGTCTTGGCCCCCGCGTAGAGACTGCGGTCTCTCCCCCTCGGGCTCCCGGACACCGCTCACCGTGAAGGGGACATCTTCGACGCTGCCCACGGAATAGCAGTTGTCTCCAGGGTTGACAGCTCCGGTGAGGACCTGATGTAGATGCATCTCCAGAGCCCCGGCTGGCCAGGCGAACGCACTAGAAGACTGAACGAGCCCCGCTCCCGGTCCTCCTCCGCCCGCGAGAGCGCTTCCCGCTCCGCCTCCCTCGGGACCCACCCCGCCGCGGCTCGGGCTTAAGGCCTCGCCCCCCTTTTGCCTTCCCCCAGCCTGGTCCCAGCCATGGGAGCTCCTCGACCGCCGCCGCCGCCGCCGCAGCTGCCGCCGCCCGGATCGCCTCTCGGCTGCGGAAGTGCCCGGATGCTCCCACTGCCTGCTGCACCGGCGCACAAATGCGGGAGGAGGGCAAGGCTGCTTGTGAAGTGGGGAGGGCGGAGGGGGAGGGGCTGGGGAGCGCGCGGCCGGGCGCGTGCTGGAAGGGACGCTCCACCCGAGGGAGATGGGCGGCGCGCGCGTCCACCCTGGGGGCAGCGCCAGTCGACTGGAAGGGTAAATCCCTCCTTCCGCTGCTAAACCCTTAGCTCAGTCCTCCCCCGCCCCGCGTTTGCGCGTGCGCGCGCAGAGGTTTCCAGGGCAATTGCGCGCGCCGCGCGGATCCTTGTCCCGGGATTGCGCGCGCAGAGGTGCGGGAATTCCCTTGGAGCCTCCAGGCTGCGGCCGCTGGGGGCGGTCGTGGGGGTGGCCGCAGGGCGGAGCGGAGGTCGCTCCGGGCCAAGCCGCAGTCCCTCTCCGGAGAAGCACCGCAAGCATGCTTCGATGAGTCTTTAATCCATTACCAAGTACACTGCATTATGGTCAGTGCAGTTGACTTCAGGAGGACACCCGTCAGCGGAAAATTCACCTCGGGAAATCTTAGATCCCTTAGGGCTTTTTTCAAGTACAGTGCATAAGATATTTTACTTTATGTAAACAATAGAAACATCTTGCAACTGTGTAGAGAAGCCGTACTCCCCTAACAGCAAATTATTTTGTTCCCACCTTTTGTAACGGTTGTTCTAGACAGCGAAAGGGCCCCCTGGAATGAGTGACTCCTCTAGGCTCTTTTTTCATGCGCGATGTTATGGATTCTTGCAGAATCGCCTGAATTTTCCAGACTGTTAACCTTTGATACAGGGATCAGATCCCTGCTCCAGTTCAATTCGTCACAAGGCTTTAAGCCTATACTGTGTGTGATTAAGTCACTGGGGCAAGGAAGTAGAAGGGACTAAGTTACAACTATCTATAAAAACAGGCAGAACGCAAAAAGTGTTAGGATTGAGACACAAAAGTCTATGCACCACAGAAGAGGAAGAATACTTTTGACTAAGGGGATGGGTAAAGTGTTATGGAGAAACTGACATAAACGCTGCATTCAAATAGAGAAAATAGCCTAAGCTAAGGCTTAGAAGTGTAAAATGACAGGATGTGTTAGAGAAACAATGATTAGATTAATGTTTAAGGCTGAAGATATATAGGGTGAGAAAAGGAATGGTAGTTAACAAGAGATGGATACATCCAAGAGGTAGCTTGTGGCCAGCCTGAACATGTAGAGGCTTGAATGCTCCACAAAGAAGCTTAGATTTCATTCCCGTGCAGTGTGGGGGGGGGGGGGGGTCCATCAAATGCTTCTGAGCAGTAATGTATAAATTTTTTTTATTTTTTTATTGATTTATTTTTTTTGCTGTACGCGGGCCTCTCAGTGTTGTAGCCTCTCCCGTTGTGGAGCACAGACTCCGGACAAACAGGCTCAGCGGCCATGGCTCACGGGCCCAGCCGCCCCGCGGCATGTGGCATCTTCGCGGACCGGGGCACGAACCCGTGTCCCCTGCATCGGCAGGCGGACTCTCAACCACTGCGCCACCAGGGAAGCCCCTGTGAACAGTAATGTATACACTCAGCTGCTTTAGGAAGGTAACTTTGTAAGGCCAACTGGCCCGAGGCAGGGGAACACAATCAGATTCACAGGTTGCATCAGACCGAAATTCTCCGGACCACCCAGTCCCAGAAACTGCCCTGGAGACATTCCGGACCACCCAGTTCCAGGAACTGACCTGGGGACTTTGAACCCAGCCCAGCCTTCCCGCCTTTCGAGGGGCGGGACTAACCGTCCCCCAGGATACCCGAAAAGACCACCAAATAAGGAATACCCTTCGCCCTCCCAGATTCACCACACCCCTTTCCCTTCTTCCCCTATAAAGTCTTGCCCAACCCTCGCCCGGGTGCGACTTCTCTGGCCCCTTTCTCTCGGACCAGTGAACCTCGCCTGGGAGCGCTCCCTAATAAAGCTCACTTGAAGCTTTCCTCTGTTTCGCGGTGCCGTTTGTTAAGATCCGACCTTACAAACTTCATATCAGTGTGAAGGATATTTAGAAGAGTGGGGAAGATTGCAGGCAAAGACCTGGCAGGAGTTGGTAATCTGTTGAGTGGAAGAAGGAATCAAAGATAATTCCCAATGACCTAGGGCATTTTCATTTGCATTTAATGGCGTAACTGTTCCCCCAGTCACCCAAACTAGAAACCGCAGAGCCAGTTTCAGCCCCATTCTCTCTGTTGTCTATATCCAAGGATCCCTTTTCGAGGTCCCTAGTTCATGCCCTTCATCATACCTACTGCCCTTTACTTTCATTTAGACCTCATCATTTCTCATGTAATTACCCTAAAAGCCTCCTAACTGGTTTGACTGCCTTCCAACTCTGTGCTCTCCAATCCATCCACAGCTCTGCGGCCTGAGAAACCTTTTTAAGGGAAAAATTTCTCTGCTTAAAATCTCCACTCCCTACAGCTTCTGCCTAATCTTCCAGTTTTATCTCAGGCTGTTCCCTCACACCCACTATGCTCCAGCCCCACTGAGCTATTTGCTGTCTCCAGGGCATACTGTGTTCTCTTAATCTTCCCAGTCTTTGCTCTTTGCTCTGTCTCAAATGCCCTCCTTGCCCTTGTCTATCTGACAAAACACAATTTAGTTTAAAAGTCACTTACTCAGTAAAACCTTTCTTGTCTAGCCCCAAACACCTTGAGGCTTCTTCCTCTTGAAACACACATATCACATAGCAATCTAACTGTTGGTTTGTGTCTGTTTCTTCTACTAGAGTTGTAGATATTTCAAGTCAGGATCAGTATCTTATTTTCTCTGTGTCCCGGGTGCCTGAATCATAGTACTTTACTTGTACTGACATACAAGATTTTAGGGCTTCCCTGGCGGCGCAGTGGTTGAGAGTCCACCTGCTGATGCAGAGGACGTGGGTTCGTGCCCCAGTCCGAGAAGATCCCACATGCCGCGGAGCGGCTGGGCCTGTGAGCCATGGCTGCTGAGCCTGTGCGTGCGGAGCCTCCGCAACGGGAGAGGCCACCACAGTGAGAGGCCCGCGTACCGCAAAAAAAAAAAAAAAGATTTTAAAGTGAATAAGATCACCCAATTTTTCATGAAAAATTTATGGGGTAAAAAAGAACCTGTTAGTATACATGTATTTATTTGTGTGTGTGAAACTGTTTAAATGATTTTCAGTGGTTTTGTGGAAGGAAGTAGTACATACTCATGTTAATGGAGTATACTATGTACAGTATATTGGGTTCTAGGAAATCACAAGTTCTGTATATTTAATTGTATACTACTAACCATGAATAAAGGTACTAAGCCACATTTTTTTAAAAATAGTGAAAATATTGCAGACAACAAAATGCACACACTATGCGTGAAGTACCACAAAGGCAAATACTGGTGCTGCATCTTGGTACTAGCAACTAAACAGCATGCCACAGCATCAAATAAATTTGGGGTAATTCCTATATATACAGCATATATCAATAAAAATTGGTATAAAGCAAGCAGTTAGATACAATAAATTTAAATAAATTCCTCTATAAGAAGGAACAGGGACTTCCCTTTTGGCGCAGTGGTTAAGAATCTGCCTGCCAATGCAGGGGACACGGGTTCAATCCCTGGGCCAGGAAGATCCCACATGCCGCAAAGCTACTGAGCCCACGCGCCTAGAGCCCATGCTCCACAACAAGAGAAGCCACTGCAATGAGAAGCCCACCCCCCGCAGCAAAGAATAGTCCCTGCTCACCACAACTAGAGAAAGCCCGCGCACAGCAATGAAGACCCAACGCAGCCAAAAATAAATTAAAATAAAAAAATTTTTTAAGGGAACAAAACATACAACAAATTAATAGATTTGAAGAAATTCCAACATCATGTTCATACATAAAGGCAGATATTTTACTAAACAGTAATACATGTTGAATAACAGAAAAAATGAATATGATATAGAAGCTACTGTTTTAGTGAGTAATAGCTGTATACTAAGAACTGAACACTGGGTACTTCCCTGGTGGCGCAGTGGTTAAGAATCCACCTGCCAATACAGCGGACGGGTTCGAGCCCTGGTCCGGGAAGATCCCACATGGCGCGGAGCAACTAAGCCTGTGCACCACGGCTGCTGAGCCTGCACTCTAGAGCCCGCAAGCCACAACGGATCCCACATGCTGCAACTACTGAAGCCTGACGGCCTAGAGCCCATGCTCCGCAACAAGAGAAGCCACCGCAAGGAGAAGCCTGAGCACCGCAACGGAGAGTAGCCCCCACTCACTGCAGCTAGAGGGCCCGTGCGCAGCAATGAAGACTCAGACATACATACATACATACATAAATAGATAGTTCCCTTAAAAAAATAAATAAATGAACACTGTTTGTAAGTGTCATAAAGAATTTAATCTTCACCCTCAAAACTAGAAACCCATATTTTCAAAGCTTGAAACCCATTGCCACTACTGGATTTTAGATGAGTTTCTTAATCTTCAACTTTTGCTCCATTAGAAACTGAGTCAGGGACTTCCCTGCTGGTCCATTGGTAGTTAAGACTCTGTGCTTCCACTGCAGGGGCACGGGTTCAATCCCTGGTGAGAGAACTAAGATCCCGCATGTTGTGCGGGGCGTCCAAAAAAAATAGAACCAGACTCAAGGAATTCCCTGCTGGTCCAATGGTTAGGACTCCGTGCTTTCACTGCTGAGGGCCTGGGTTCAATCCCTGGTCGGGGAACTAAGATTCCACAAGCCACATGGCAGTGCAGCCAAAAAAAAAAAGAAAACTGAATCAAAACCATTACCAAACAAAAACTTATACTCAGATTGTCAATAGGATTTTTAATTTCACATTAGTTAAGCCATTTTACAATTGGCTCTCATTTTACAACATTCCATGAAGTTTTGGCCCATTCACACCGTTGTGAAATTGGAGGCCTCTTCCTTTTGGTATCAACTCAAAATCTGAAGCCTGAGTGTACCTATACCTCTCTTCCCTCATGAATCCTTTAAATGACTTCTTGATCTCAAAGTTGTAACTGGCTGGTCAAGTCTCCTGGAATTACAGCCAAACCTTTGTTGTCCAATCTGATCAACCAAAACTCA